ACCAGCAGCACGAGAGAGAGAGAAGAGCTAAGAGTCTCCAGAGCACGGTCCAGGCCAAGGTCAGGTTTAAGCCAATGTGTCCTCAGACATGTACGTTCCCTGCCTTTACCCCTCTGTATGTTGCACACTTGTGGTGAGGCAGCCTGCGGGACTGGTGCTTGCTGTGTGGTAGATACACCAGAGATCGTGAATATAGAGTACAGGCCACATGCACAGGAGAGATCTACAGATAACGACGGGGACAGTCGCTCAATGTGTAGGAAAAATGTGTGTCTTCTCCCCATGCCTGGGGTTAGCACCTAGGGATCCTGCCTCCAGCCACCGAGTTCAGCCCACTCAGCCTTGGTGCTTCTGAATCTTTGCTCTCCCTTCAGTTTGCTGACACTGCGGAAATGCACAGGGCAGGGAAGCCTGGGTCTGAGCTGGGCAGGGCTCCATGGGGTGAGTCCTGGAAGCCCTCAGAGAATGGACGTTGTCCCATCTTCTTCTCCCTGGCAGTGAAATACCAAGTCAGCTGCACACAGCCCAGCTGCAGAGACCAGTGTGTCAGAGTCGCCCCTCGTCCAGTGGTTAAGCCCCCCAGCTAAGGAGTGTCAGAGCCCTGTTCAAATCCCATCTCCTCATCAGGCAGAGGGGAATTGAACTGGGCTCTCCCACATCCCAAGGAGTGCCCTAACCACTGGCTATAGGTAAAAAGGGAGGCTTCCCCTGGCCTGATTCCTTCTGGCAGGAAATGGCTTAAGGTGCCTAAGCCAGCTGACTCCAGGAGAGGGGCTCCTGGCTGTGGATCTCAAACAAGGATGGGGCATCCCTGAAGCCTGGACTTAGGTGCTGAGCTGCCTGACGACATGGACACTGGCACTACATCCTTTCTCAGTCAATGTTGTCACTGCTGATCTTTCCCTCTGCTCCATTCATCAGTGGGGGAGTCTAAAGTATCTGACACACCAGGTCCCAGAATCCCAGCTGCAGTCCACAAGCTGAAATTGCCCTAGAGCCACGGACCCTGGGAGCTCATCCCAGGAATCCCAGGCTCCCAGCTTCAAGGTAGGGAGCTTGGAAGCCCTGACAGCCCTGCCTCGAGCCAGGGTTCTCAGGGCTCCCAGGCTCCTTGCTGCAGAGCTGGAACTGAACCCCTGTTACAGACAGGGCTCCCAGGGCTTTCATTGGAACAGCTGAGTGAATACAGCAAAGTCGTCCCTGTGTGAATAGTAATGTTACTTTTTCAGGGAATTTGATTCAGCTGAATGCATGGTCCCTGTGTGAATATTCCACCAATGCAGACAGGAATGTTCATGGACATTTAAGGAATGGGGATGGGATTTTCAAAGGCACAAAAGGGAGTTAGGTGCTGATCTCCCAGTGAAAGTCAATAGAAGTCAGGTGCCTAAATACCTTAGGTCCAGTTGAAAATCTCAGTGCCTCATGGTGGGCTGGCCCTTTAAGGGGAGATGGGCTCATCCACATCTGTGCCTTGTCATCTGATCCCAAGTGAGGGTTTGGGTTGGGGCTGGGTTAGGTCAGTGACCAGGCATCGGAGGGAGCCTGGTCCATCACAGTGAGGGGCACCAGTTGGTAGAACAGACTTAGGGGAGGTCTGTCTGGAGGCGCCATGTGTCTGGGATGGATCTGGCAGAGCTCCACTGCTCAGACATCTGAGGAGCAGAGAGGGCTGGGCCTGATGCCCTGATTCAAGAGTAAAGGTTAGAAGATTTTCAGGGATCAGGAGACTCCTGCAGGGGATACAAAGGGGACCCAGGGTCAGGGAGGACTTGGGAAGAAGATCTCCAAGGCAGCCAGAGGGGAGGTCTGGCTGGAGAGACCTGCACTCCTGGGCAGGGACAGAACCCATCAGAGGGACTTAGGAGCCCAGGAGGGTCATAATGGCCTGGTGAGCCTGGAGAAGGCAGCCCCGAGATTACAGTTTTTAACTGTTATTCGGTGTTAAAAAACCAAACCACTGAGGAGAAAATAATTCCATTTATACTGGCACTAGAAATGGTTCAGAAAAGGGCAACTAAAATGATTATGGGTTTGGAATGGGTCCCATATGAGGAGATATTAAAGAGACTAGGTCTCTTCAGCTTGGAAAAGAGGAGACTAAGGGGGGATATGATAGAGGTATATAAAATCATGAGTGATGTGGAGAAAGTGGATAAGGAAAAGTTATTTACTTATTCCCATAATACAAGAACTAGGGGTCACCAAATGAAATTAATAGGCAGCAGGTTTAAAATAAATAAAAGGAAGTCCTTCTTCATGCAGCGCACAGTCAATGTGTGGAACTCCTTACCGGAGGAGGTTGTGAAGGCTAGGACTATAACAGCGTTTAAAAGAGAACTGGATAAATTCATGGTGGTTAAGTCCATTAATGGCTATTAACCACGATGGGTAAGGAATGGTGTCCCTAGCCTCTGTTTGTCAGAGGGTGGAGATGGATGGCAGGAGAGAGATAATTTGATCATTGCCTGTTAGGTTCACTCCCTCTGGGGCACCTGGCATTGGCCACTGTCGGTAGACAGGATATTGGGCTATATGGACCTTTGGTCTGACCCAGTACAGCTGTTTTTATGTTATGTTCCAACGCACCAATGGCAGTGGGATGTTTGACTGGGGAAGGAGAGGAATTGAGGCAGTGACTGGGTGTGAAAGCAGTAAGACCCTGTTACATGCAGCCTTTGGTTCTAACCTGGACCCTAATCCAGCAAAGTGCTTAGGCATGAGTTTAAGTTTAAGCTTTCAAGGGACTACTCACCTTGTTAAAGTTAAGCACATGCGGAAGTGGTTTCCTGAACCAGGGCCTTTGTACAGGATATTCAAAGGGGCGAGGGGGTTGAATTCATAATCATTAGTGTTCAACATGGATCCTCCAATGATATAAATTCTCATTGTGCTATTGGCTTCAATGGCACTGTAACAATTTACATCAACTGAGGATTGGCCTCTTCATTTTTAAGCTTTCTAATTCTTCAATTTATCCAATCAAAGAAAAGAAACAGCGTGTTGAAAATGTATCCACATGAAAGAGCTCTAAGTTCATACACCAAGTACATCTGATGAGGTGCTTGTTAATGAGCTGTGGAGTAAGAGAAATATTCATAGACATGATTTGGTGAATAATGTTTAATAAAGAATACTTACAAGAAAATCATGATCTGGACATAGACAGTCATAGCAGGAAAAGAGGCACAATAATTAGCATAAACTAATTCATAAACAGAAATCTATCATTATGACATAATTAGATTGTGTATTAGCACAAGGAACGGTCCCATCACTCTGTCTGTCTAATCACATACTCCTCTTTTATCTATCATATACATAGTCTACACATCAATCTACAGAGAAGGAATAAGAAATAAATCAACCAAATTATGTGCTCCTTTCTCAGCTTGTGAGCAGATCGACATGGGATACTGCATGGAATGCCCGATCAGTGCAAGTGATGGCACTTTTCCATTTACATCAAGGTTAGAACAAAATGACCCCAGACAAGTAACTTACACCAGTGTTTATGTTACCACTGAATTGAGCCCAGAGACATTGAGCCAGAACCTCATCAGTATTAAACCCTTGATGTCAATGGAGCTACTCTTCACTGGCACAGGTGTAGCTGAGATGGGAATCTCACATTTACATCCTGGTCCCATTCACTTTCTCCAGGCTGCCTTTAGCAACATTTGGATCCCTGTGTATATTGGCTGCTGGCCAAGTCCTGACCCCTTTGAAGTGAGTGGCTTTAGCCCAGTGACTTCAATGGGATCCAAATATGGTCAGTTCTTCTGTAGGAAACACTGGAATAAGTTTCTCTTCAAAAGGGCCTTCTCACCATAGCAAGAATGACACTGATGTTATTTATTTATTTACATTTACATTAATAAAAAAGAAGCCTATCTCGGGCTCTAGGCATGTTAAAATTAGTCATTTCAACAGGAACTCAATCATCCAGACAGCTACAGAAACTCTTTTCCACCCCTTCATCTTTGTGGAAAGCAAACCGTCAGCTCTCTCCGAAAACCCAGAGAAAGAGATATCACATTGCCCTCCCGAATACATGACACATTACTGAAACCCCCAATCATTTCCCCCACGAAAGAAAACAAAACAAAATCCTAAAACCAAATTGATCAACTGATAAAACAAAGCAATAGCCAGACGAGCTAGTCGTTACAATCTGGCCCGGTACCCAGTTGTACAGTCACTCATCTCATGAAAGTGGACCCAATCACTGGATGCCATGTACTTCCAAGGTAACTGCATATGGGTAGAGTCTCATCATTGTTTCTAGCTCTGGGGCTCTAGGAACCATTCCCCAGTTCAGACCTCTGGTCCGATGCCCTTCCTTTGGCAGTGGGAGGCCACTGTCCAGCTGCCTTAGAGCTCAAAACCGTATCTGAGTTTCCCCAAACCCCCAGGTCACTTACACACACTCTGCCAGAGCTTCACCTAGACTATGATCACTCTGGGATCCTGGTTGAATCCCTTTAAGAAGAATGTGACAGGAAGGCGAGAAACACAGGTTTAGTCTTTCCTATGTGTGGGCATGGTCGGCCCCTCTCTGCACAGAACAGAACAGCACTGTTCAGTAGGCCTCCGTCTCTGTGCCAGGGGTTCAAACTGTGAACTTCCATCTCCGACATTCATGCCTGTGGGTCCCCTGTATAGAAAAATTGTTTTTTCCCTGGTGGTGGGCAAGTAGTCGACAGACAAGAAAACTCGATGGCCCCAGACTCTAGACTTGATGGCTCTCAATGAGGTCCTCCAAGGATGTATCAAACACCTTTCCCAGGCAGGGCAGCTGTCTGGAAAGCAGCACAACAGGCTGCCATTGAGCCAAGCCAGACTTGTGCTGTCACTGTGCCAATATTTCTACACATAATACAACAGAGTTTACAGTTTGATACCATCATATCCCACTCTGTCACACAAGCAAACAATTAGCCAAAAGCTATGGCACCCCAAGAAGAGTTTATGCCCTCCCCCCCCCAAAGACACAGAGACTCCATGAGGTCCACTGGGGACTTGATTATGGCTATTCATTTGAGGTGGAAGGTGCTCGGATAGTGTGGTGATGGGTGGCAGTAGAAAAAACATGATAGATAGATAGGTAGAGTCTCGTCTTATTTACACTGGGGTAAATCTACAGTAACTCCACTGACTTAAGTGGTGTTTGTCTGCATTTTTACCTGTCTAAATACACCTTTCTGCATAAGCAAATGGCAAAACGTGTTCTTATAGAGACAATAATGTCATCAGAGGGTTACATTTATAAAGCAACAGGATGAAATCACAATCAAAGGGAAAACATGGACAGTTTATTTTTGGTGAATAACCTCCACGCTATCAGTTTCCTCAATGCAGGTTTGATCTCCTAGTTCCTTATTCTGTAGATGATCGGATTCATCACTGCTGGCAGCACAGAATAGAGAACAGCCACCACGAGATCCAGACCTGAAGTTGAGCTGGAGGTGGGATGACTGTAGGCAAAGTTAGCAGTGCAAAAGAACAACGGCACCATGGTAAGGTGAGGGAGGCAGGTGGAGAAGGCTTTATGCCGGCCCTGCTCAGCGGGGATTCTCAGCACCATGGTAAAGATGTGAACATATGACACAATTATTAAAACAAAGCAGCTTGAGGCTAAGCACACACTAAAGGCAATAGCCCCAGTTTCACTGAGGTATGTGTCCGAGCAGGCGAGCTTGAGGATTTCACAGAAGAACTGATCCACCATATTGCCTTCACAGAATGTGTTCCCAGTGTGGAGTGGAGAGTAGAGAAAAACACTGATCCAGATACCAGCTGCCATTTGGATACAAGCTCTTCTGTTCATCACTTTCTCATAGTGCAGGGGTTGGCAGATGGTGACATAGCAGTCATACGCCATGATGGTCAATAAAGCAAGATCTGCTGAAACAAAAAAGACAAAGAGAAAAACTTGGGCGACACATCCAGAATAAGAAATTGACCTGATGTTCATGAGGGAATTGGCCATGGATTTGGGGACAGTGTCTAGGATGGAGCCAATGTCTAGGATGGACAAATACATCAGGAAGAAGTACATGGAGGTGTGAAGATGGTGGTCGAGGAGAACAACTGTGATGATGAGAAGATTCCCCACCAGGGCTGCCAGGTAAATAACTAGAAACACCATGAAGTGTAAAATCTGCAGCTATCGAATGTCAGAGAATTCCAGGAGAAAGAACTCGGTCACAGTGGTTCGGTTGAACATTTTCTTCCTCAGTATATCATGTGATGGCTGTGGAGGGAAGGAGAAGGGCAATGGTAAGGATTAGAGTGACAGAGAAATTGATCCTGATTCTCTCTCTGTAATATCTCATAATGTGAATGTCAAGGGTGCACAGTACTCGTAACTTCCATTGACGAGGAGTCACGAGTGCTCCTCACCCATCACCCAGAGCACTAATCAGATGCATTATCACATTAGTGAAAACTGGATTATTTCACTTAAAGTCAGTGGAGCTGGGTCAGTTTACACCATCTGAGGATCTGGCCCTAGATAAAATGCAGTATGAAGGATGGAAAAAGGTACAATCCAAATCCAACAATTCTAGCCAAGATGGTTCCCTATTGTGACAAAGAGCAACCCCACAACTTGGGCATGAAACTAACATACTAAAATGACAACACAGCCTAATTCCCACTTTCCAGAGAAATACAACATTGACTCACCCAGCTTCCTACATGGCAGCTCATCTGTGATGATTCCTCCACATAGACAGCCTTCTACCTATTTAGAGATTGATCCATGGCACCAATCCTAGCTGCACTTCCATCTCTGTGTGATGCTGGGCTAGGAGCGTCGCTCAGTTTCTGCTAGGTTGTATTGTTTCCCTCTGTGACTTTATGTCTGTGCTGTGCAGGTCAGTGGCAGTCAGGAGACTTAGATTATGTGGGCTTGGTTCTGCCACAGACCTGCCGGGTGACCTTGGGCCAGTCACTTCCCCTCCCTGTGCCTTTGTTTCCCCTCCCTCCCTCCCTCCCTTTCTCTGCCTTGTCCATTAGAACTGGAAGCTCTTAAGGGGGTGGACTTTGTCGTACTATGTGTAAGCGGGGGAATGGTCGCGCTATTGTGGGGAACTTTCCTGGCTTCTGCACTACCCCGGTGAAGTGGGCTAGCGAAAGGATCCGAGTCCTCGCTCCCACTTCCTTTACCCAGAGGCCTCCTTGCCCTTGAGGACTCCCCTTCCACTCTCCTGTCTGGCAGTGTCCTCGTAAACCCCGACAAGGCTGAGCCCAGGATTCCTGGGGGACTCGACCCCCAACCCTGCTGTGGTTACCCAGGGCAGGGGCTAGGGTGTCCCCACTCCGGGGTACTATCTTTGCACTGGGCACCTTCCTGACCCACTGATTATTTCATACAATTTAAAGCAAATATAAGTTGTTTAATTAACAATTAATTTTAAAAAAGAATATGGAAAAATGGGAAAGGTTAAAGGAAAACACATCACCCCGCTCTGTGGCAGGGAACATTACAAACAGTGTCTCTGGTATGTCAGGGCAGTTCAGTTTGTTCCTTGTAGGTCCCAGGCTCCTTCTCAGGCCCTGGCTGTGCTGCAGAGACGCTGCGGGTTGGACACTTGCTCTGGTGGTGGTGATGATCCCCCTGCAAGTCTGGCCTGCAAGGCCTCTTGGCTGAGGTGTCTCCCTGTGCTGGGCCCACTGCCCAGGGTCCCCCTCACTCTCCCCAGCTGCTCACCGCACTCGGACTGCACACGGCTCCGGACTGCCCTACCCCAGCTCCGGACTGCTCCAGCCCCGGCTCCAGCTCCACTCTGCCTCAGCATGGCTGCTGCTGCTGCTCTGCCTTCAGCTCCCTGGGCTGCTTCTCTGGCCTCTCTGGCTCTGGTTGCTGCAGCTCTGCCCCCAGGACAGCTCGGCTCTGCAGGCTGCTTCTGTGACTCTGCTCCCAGCTCTGACCTGCTTCCTGGCTGCTTGTCTGGCCCCTCTGGCTCTGGTTGCTACAGCTCTGCTCCCAGGGCAGCTCTGCTCTCTCTGGGCTGTGCTCTGGCTTTGGGGCTGCAGCTCTGCTCCCAGCAGCTCAGCTCGGGCCCCTGCTCTCTCCTTAGCTCGGCCCCACTCTGTCTGACTCAGGCCATTCCAGTTCACACGGAGGATGGGACCCCATCTGGCCTCCTGACTCCCTGATTAGCCTGCCCGCCCTGTCAATCAGGCTAATCTGGAGCATTGGCCTCTCCCCATTGTTCCTGGGGACTGTCAGTCTCAGGCTCCTGATTTGCCATCGACCCTGCCCCTTTTAGTGCTGGGAGCTAGCAACCAAAACGCCCCCACTGAATGTTAGTAAGGGGGCAACAGTCCCCTTACATTCCCCCTTGCTAAAATACTGCCACATCCACAATATTCACACCGGTACATTCGGGCCCCATGGTAACAACGTATACCCATGTCATTATATATTAACAACCCATTAACAATTATTAAAAGAACATTTAACGTATTTAACATTTCACATCTACTTCTTAATACCATACATAACAATATTTATTAAAACACTACATAGAACCAATAACATAATTATTTTTAAATCTAACAGGAAGTATGCCCTTATTAGCCCTCTGGGACCTTTTTAAGACTGGTGGTTCGTTACCCATATTTTCTATTTTCCTATCCTCGGGTAATACTGGGTCAGTTTGAAGGATCTGGCCATTCTTGTTAGGGTTTGGGTTTGCCCCACTCTGTCCCCCTCTGTATTCGGTTTGTGGGACTAGAACCATTTTCCAATTGATTTTAGCCTCCTCAGGGTGTACTGATCTACGCCTCCTATGGTCCCTGTCTGGACTAAGAGTGCAATGTTTCAACTGGACTGGAGGTCCTACCAACCCAGGACCGCCTCGCACAGGCTGAT